TTTAATACATTTAGGCTGGGAAAAGCCTTTCAGAAGGAAGATACTGCAGAAAAATCAGTTGTTGCTCCTTCCCTGGAACAATATAAAAATGATGATTATAAAGAATAATTCTGTCAACAAATACATTCAAGATCTTTATGAAGAAAACAATATTATTTATTCAAATATTAAAGAAATCTAAACAAATACAGAGAAATATCATGTTCATGGATAATAAATTATCTTAAGGATGTCAATACCTCTCCAAAACCAATCTATAGAACCAATGCAATTACAGGTTGAGCATCCCAAATCCAAATCCTGAAATTCAATGTACTCCAAAATCTGAAACTTTTTGAGCACCAACATGATGCTCAAAAAAAAAAACCAAAAGCCCACTCACTGGAGCATTTCAGATTTCAGACTTTTGGATTCAGGATGCTGAATTGATTTAACACAAATATTCCAAAATCTGAAAAAGCCCCAAATCACTTCTGGTCCCAAGTATTTTGGAGAAGGGATACTCAATCAATCTGTATCTTAAAATCCCATTAAGTTTTCTCACAGAACTTGAAAAGCTGATTTTAAGATTTATATGGAAAGAATATGACCAAGAAAGTCAAGGACCTGCTGTAGAAGAAAAACAAGTTGTTCAGTAGAGGGCTGGGAAACTTGACTTAGTAGATATCAAAAATTATTTTAAAGTTATATTAACTAAGATTATAAATTTGGCTGTGGAATAGAGAGTTCAGAAGGGAGCCCACACATACGCAGAAATCTGATGTACTACAGAGATGGCATACAGATCAGTGGGAATAGGATGCATTATTCAAGAAATGTATAAGGATAGTGGAAAAAGTAAAATTGTATCTCTCACAACACACACAAAATTCCAGATAAATTAAAAATTTAAATGTGAAAGTCAAAACACTTAAACTCTTAGAAGAAAATATATGGAAATATGCTAATAATCTAAGGGTTGGGAAGAATTTCTAAAAAATAACACATTAAAAGTACTAACCATAAAGAAAAAAGAAGAAATTTAAACTTCAAAATTAAGAATTTTGGTACACCAAGCGACATCATAAAGGGGTTGAAAGATGTAACAAACTAAGAGAAAATAGTTTACAACATATAACAAATAATTAATATCCAGAATATATAAAGAACTCCCATAAATCAATTAGAAAAAGATAACAATGGAAAAACATACGAAGCCAAAGGAAAAAAAAGGCATTTTACCTAAAAGGAAAGATAAATGGGTCATAAATATATGGAACCTCTTTGGTAATTAGGGAAATATAAATTAAAAGGACAATGAGGTACCCAAGTGTTGTCTTAACACATGGAACAATAGGAATTCTCATATCCTGCTGGTGGAAGCATAAACCGCTTACTACTACTCTGGAAAACATCTTGGCATTAGTAAAGCTGAACATAAATGTACTCTATGATGCAGAAAGTCCACACCTAGAAGTATACCCTAGAAAAAACTGCTATACACATGTACCACAACACACATACAAGAAGGTACTCTCTTAGGTACAGTGGCTCACACCTGTAATTCCAACTACTCAAGAGGCTGAGGTAGGAGGATCACTTGAGCCCAGGAGTTCTAGGCTGCAGTGAGCTGTGGTCATGCCACTGCACTCTAGCCTGAGAAACAGAACCAGATCCTGTTACTTAAAAAAAAAATGTATTCTCTTACTCAGTGGGCTCAAAATTAAAAATTAACTCTGAAATGTTTCATTAAAAGTCATACAACACACACTCATCATCCAAAATTAATGTTTATGGGACACACTTTTTTTAGGGACTTCTTATTCATTAATTGCTAAATTCATTAATAAATATCAGTAATATTACCCTTCTGTAAATGTAGAGATAAAATATACCTGACAAGTCACTTTTTGATATAGCATGAACAGCTTTTTGTTCACACTGACAGGCACATGTACTTTAATCACCAAAGTCTGTATCGAGTATTTATAAAAGTAAATCCTTTTTGAAGATTATTTCAATTTAATCAGGATTAAAAGAAAACTTTTATCCTTATCATCCTTGAGTGAAATAACTTCATTTTTAATATCTTTCTTAATCAGAAAATACACAGAAGGAAACAATAATATAGAGAGAGCTTGATGTCCTGTGGTCTTCCTTAATAACAACCCATTTTCAAGAGACTATAATCTACTCAACAGAAAGCATTCTACCAAGTATCTTAATCAGATTGAGAAAAGTCATACTCGAAATAAACAATATTTCACTAAAACCAGAACAATGTAGGTATTAGCAGCTATACAAAAGGTTAGCCTCAATCTGATGAGTCATTTCTAAAAGGATGAAAGTATAATTCTTTGACGTGCTTTCTATTCAAGCTGAAATATATATAAAGGTAGAGAATCGTTTACCAAGCAGGTTGACTGAGACATTTTTCTTCATTTTACACAACCTTGTTTGACTCTATGCGAACATCGAACTAAGAATGGCAAAAATGAGTCGCTCTTCCTACATACTAATACTAACTTTTGCTTTGTTTTCTCAAGGTATTTTACTTTCAGCCTCCAAGTCCATAAGAAATTTAGAAGATGACATGGTATTTAATACATTTAGGCTGGGAAAAGCCTTTCAGAAGGAAGATACTGCAGAAAAATCAGTCGTTGCTCCTTCCCTGGAACAATATAAAAATGATGAGAACGGTTTCATGAACAATGAGGAAAACAAAAATTCAAAGGTAAGTGGCAATGTGACCAATGTGACTTGTTTATTTCAATGGAAATTTAAATGATTTTTATAACTTCTAAAAAAAGTAAAATTGATATCTCTATTTTATAAACAGAAGTATATGCAAATAGTCACAGTATACATTAAAATAACAGATGGTATTTCATACATACCAGGTGGTTCCTTCCATCCTGGAAAATTCCTCTTATCCAAAAGTTTTTTTTTCCAATAAACTTATATCTGAAGTATTTTTAAAGAGTCAAAAACGGTGCAGAGCACCTCTGAATTGAGCAATAAGAATATTAAACACTTGTATTATAGTTCTATTCCCAATAAGACAGCTAAAAAACAAATCAACCTTCTCTTTACAGAACACAGGCTTCAAACACAATTTCTTAAATCATGGTCTGCCACTGAATCTAGCTATAAAACCTTATCTTGCACTAAAAGGATCTGTAGCTTTCCCAGCTGAGAATGGAGTTCAGAATACTGAATCAACACAAGAAAAGAGAGAAATTGGGGATGAAGAAAACTCAGCTAAATTTCCCATAGGAAGGAGAGATTTTGACAGTAAGTAGTCTTTTTAAAACTCAATGCTTACATCTTAAAAGAGAACTCTTGAGTTTAACTGAATTTGGATCCAATCATAACAAAATCAAATAAGACCATGGTTCAATTACTGTTGATATTAAGTGATACCTGCCAAAAATGTGGGATTAAAAAGCCTTTAATTAAGCCAGGTGTGGTGATGTGCCTGTAGTCCCAGCTACTAGGAAGGCTGAGGCAGGAGGATCACCTGAGCTCAGTTCAAGACCCACTTGGGCAACATAGCAATACCCACATCTCTTAAAAAAAAATTAAAACGATAAAAATGCATTTAATTAGTTATTATAATTTTGTTTTACTCAGAATTAGTTTTACTAGATCCATTTCTTTCCCCTAATATATACTGTGTGATAATTATAGTTCTTTAAACAATTTAAACTTTTTTTCCCTTCAGTGCTCAGGTGTATGCTGGGAAGAGTCTACCGACCTTGTTGGCAAGTTTGATACCTGTTGGTCCACATCATCTTTCAAGAAGACAACAAAAGCATTTAATTGCCAGTGGGAGGAAAGCCCTTAATGTTACTCTAACTTGTGTATTATTTTAAATGTCTGTTTTAAAAGAAAGCAGTGTTAAGATATATCAGTAACCTAAATGATATGCTTTTCCTGTGCATTAAACTTTGTGAAAATCCTGCATAATTATGACTTACTAGTATTTTTGAACAATGCTTAACATACTAACCATACTAACCTTACATACACTCCAGATCAAAATAATAGAGCATCATCATTTACACCTTAATCTCTTAAAAATTAAGTATGTCTTTGGTGAATAGTTTAAATATATATAAATCTAAAGCACATAAAAGACAAATTCATAGTCTAAAATACTGAGTTAACTTTGTCTGGCCAATACTCAACTTGCCCTTGGCAGTACACTTACTGCCTCTTGCTACTCTGGCTAGTTTGCATTCCAATTTATTATGTGAACTGTTTGATGTCTTAGGTATCTTAACATTTTTATGTTGAGGTGGGTCATTTCCATTATCAGAGAGAATGTTTTCACCATCCAAATCCACCTGTTTCCTTTTCGAGGTTTTATTTCCTGTCTGACTACTTGATTTTCTTGATAATTTTTCATTTTCACTCCTGTCCAGATGAACATTTCCAAAACTTGTTCCAATTGTTGATCTTCCAACAGGTGAATTTATACCCTCTGTTATGCAAGATGAAAAAGGGAAAGGAATTATATAATATTTAGTATATTACTCATGAGAATTTTACAACGAACTTTTAAAATGGCTAAAATGTACTCAAAAACTTATTTAAAGTAAAATAATGCTATAAATTACATGATTAACAAATACAGCAACATTACTATCACATTACCTTTCACTTTACCATACTACCTCTCTCATCCCTACCAACAAATATTTGTTTGAAGGCATGACATTTAATCCTTAAACAAATGCTAGAAATCATTTAGTTAAATCAAACTGTCCTATTCCTACCCATAAATTTGTACTTAGATTTAACTTTTTAAATAAACTCATATCTTTAAAAATATAAACCTTTACATTTCATAGTACTTTGCATAATAATCTAGTTTTTCTTAAGTTAAAATCAATTAGTAGACAAAAATTAAATTGTTGCTTAATTACTCAAATAAGGTCAGTTACCAGAAAGGTCATTTTCCATGTGAAGAACATGCAAAGGTTTTGATGCTGAATTAACATTTTTCCAACTATCCTTGCTTATCATGCAGTCATCTTTATAAGTACAAGCAAACTGGGATCTAATTAAGGTTTGTTTCATCTGGTAACAGAAAGAAAGAAGAAAATATGCAATTTATTGATTATTTTGATTTGTTTTTTCATCTAGATAGATATATACCCTATAGTAAACAAGGTATCATAAAAAATTCCCCTAAAAATTACATTATTCATTGAAAACTTTTATTTTATTTTAAACTCATTCATTGCTATGGCTAGCATTTTTGTCCTTTTCTGCAAAACTAGCTTTCTGTATATTTTTAATTTTTTGTAAAAGTTATTAAAAAACTAACTTTAGACTCTTCATAGGCCTTTGTTACATATTCCTGTGTCTGGGCTGCTTTAGAGAGCAAGTTTCATTATAAGGAAAATAATAATACACACAATATACATAATCATAGAAAAATACAAGTTCTTTCTAAGAAACACACAGAACACAACTCTTTTAGAAAAAAAATAGCATAGAAAATTCAAGAAGTTGGAGAAGGGAGAAATGCTAAAATGAAAAAAAGAATTAAGAGCAGTCAAAAGAAATAAAAACAGAAAACTAGCAAAGTAACCACAAGATAAAACAAAATGGTGTTGGAAAGGCATTACTTCTTGAGTATTTAGGAAAACAAGAAAGATAATTCAAATATATCATTCTAGAAAGATTTGACTGATTTAATGGTCAAAAATGCAAAATATGCCCTTGCATTTATCTTCAAATATCAAATAGGAGGGCCTAAATTTCTACATATATGGTAGAAAATTCGAAAGATAATAATGGTTAATTCTTAACCATTGAAAAGGGCACCAGAAAAGTAATTTTAGAAATGTATCCTGCAAACATAAAACCAGTGAGCTGTTTTAAGGATGGGAATTAATTTAGAACAAAGTAGCCTACATAGAAAAATCACATTTCAACAGTTATAGCTGAGGTATAATACTATTCAAGTGTAATGGGGAGATTTCTCCAAATAATTAGGAGTCATTTCAAAGCCTTTCCAGAAATAGAACAAGTTTAAATTTAAAATAAATGATTCAAAAAGGACTTCAACAATTCAAAAATGTGACAATTCAAAGTATAATTACATTATACTGAACATTACTTACAGAGTAGTTATTGATATAGTTCATGAAATCTAAAATAGCATAGCTTTACCTTATATACTCAAGAGTTATAGATCATGTTATATATTCAGAGGTCGGCACACTGATCTATTCAGTTGTTTACAAAAATAATGGCAGTGAAATCCACTGACTATGGTTTAGAAGAAATTAGAATAATCTCCTGTCCAGCTGCTTCATAAAAGCAAGTTTTCTTAAGATAAATTTTCTATTTTTTTTTTTTGTGACAGAGTCTTGCTCTGTTGCCTGGGCTAGAGTGCCATGGTGTCAGGCTAGCTCACAGCAACCTCAAACTCCTGGGCTCAAGCAATCCTGCCTCAGTCTCCCGAGTAGCTGGGGCTACAGGCATGTGCCACCATGCCCAGCTAATTTTTTCTATATATTTTTAGTTGTCCAGCTAATTTCTTTCTTTTTTAGTAGATACAGGGTCTCACTCTAGCTCAGGCTGTTCTTGAACTCCTGACCTTGAGCGATCCTCCTGCCTCAGCCTCCCAAAGTGCTAAGATTACAGGCATAAGCTACCACGCCTGGCCAATTTTCTCTTTCTGACAATGGAGTCTGTGAGAGTCTCCATCTCTCAGATCACTGAAAATTATGTTTCATGTGCTTGAATGAAATATTAGACAATTAGAGCTTATCTTCCATCTAAGCACGAAAATGCACAATTGAAAAAAATGTGAAAATGTACAAGATCAAAAAACTATCTTTTTTAAAAAAGTGAAACAGAATAGGCTCTTGAAAATGAATGGGACTACAACTCACTGCTTCCATGAATCCCTATGAACACAACTCCTATTATACAGCTTCCCTCATTAGATGCCCTAAAATATAACTGAAGGTTTTAAGTAGCTCTTTCTGGACTTTATTAATCCTATATTCTACAAATAGCGAGAATCCTTATTAATTCTTAAAGCAATTGATAAAGCTATTAAAATAAATTTTATTAATAAAATGAATTCTACATTATATTATATTACTTTAGTAACAATGTCCATGAACTTTATTTCCATCTGCAAAACCAGTACTAACCATTGACATTTTCTTTTCACTCATTTCTTTTATTTCACCATAGTTATTGCTTACAGAGAATTATAAACTTATTCCTCATAAAAAGTTATAAAGAATATGCTAAGACCATGCAGGCAAATAGATGCTAACGGTCAGCTTCGATCACTTCCTTTGTACCCAGATAGTGATGGCACCTGTAGGTGGCTTAGGAGGCGTTAGCCTCCCACTACAAAGTCTTCATCAGCACCATCCATAAAACACTCTAAATAATAACTATATTATTTAGTTGAGAAAACTTATATTTTCTTAATCTCATCTTTAGCATGAATAAAAACTTCTTCAGAAAGCTTTATTTTTATTAATTGTTAACACAATCTAAGTAAAAATCTTTGTTTGCTATGTAAATACAGTCACAAAACAAGTGCCACAGCTCTCCTTACAACTAGATTTCCTCTCTTCAGGCCCCCCTATAGAAAAATTCTAGACTCCTCAGTGACCACAGAACAATCTCAGAAAACTAGAGTTACAAAGCAATGGATTCCTAAAGTACTCAGAATAGGTTCAGAAGTAAAAGGAAAATAATTAACCACTTTATTTACCATGAAAAATTCTTTTTATAAACTTATGAAAACATGAGAAAGAAACACAATAGTTCTATGTTGATGTCGGAACACTTATATTTAAAAGACATAACTAAGAGTAGTTATACTGAGGGTTTGTTTTTTTTAAAGATTATTAATACATATGTGATTTCTTTTCCCTGCCCTGTACAAAAATCTTTTTAATCAATTACCACTTATTATGTTCCAGCTATGTGATAGGCACAGTATACTAAAGAGATTACTAGGATGGCTTCTATAATCACAAAGATAGTTCACTTATAAAATTTGCTGTTGACACACAGCTGGAAGGAATAACAAGTAAATTGGACAGCAGAATCAAGACTGAAAAGATGGTTCAGAAGGCTAGATCATAAGTAGAAAATAATAAGATGAAAATGGCTGGGGATAAAGAAAGTCTTGTATTTAAGTTCAAAAATGCCAATTACAGATGTATAGGATGAGGAGAGCCTAACTTAAAAATAATATCTGAAAAAGACCTGGAGACTTTAATTGATCATGAACTTGACTAGAGCCCATAGTATAATATTCAGTTAAGAAAGTAGCACAAAAAGACACGATGATGTGATAGGAAAAGTACCAGAATTGAGGTCAAAAGACCCAGTTTCTAATATTAGCCTTATTACTTATTAACTAGATAACCTTGGATAAATCACTATGCCTCTCATTTATTCCACACATAAATGGGAATAATATGTACCTCAGAGAATTATCAGAATTATATGAAGTTAAAAATATAAAAGTACTACATAAAGTCTAGAGATCTATGCACATACTATGTAGTTATTATCATAACAACATACATGAAGAGAGTAATTCCTGTAAGAATAAGATCAGTTGAATTATATCTCTCAGGACCAGGCCAATTCTAAAATGATTCTAGGAATGCAGCTCAAAAAATGAACTTACAATCAGGTTCTTCATTTTAATTATTAAAATGATGCAAGCTACATTGGCTTATAACTTAAAAGAGATTGCTTTTCCTTTGTTCATAAAAGTTGAATTTTTCTGCACAAGATTAGTGGCTACATAAAACTGAGATTACTTCCTGTTGCACATCTTCCAAATCTCTCTGTGTATTTGATTTGGAATCACAAATAAGCAAAACAATTCCCTCTTGAAAGTGCTTGTGAAGTATTAAACAACTAAGAATAATGTCCAGATTCATACATGGCTGTTAAAATCA